GTGGTTAAGTTGTATTTACAACACTGTTCTGGAACAGTTCAAACCAAATATTTGTGTGTGTGCAACGCATTTAACAGAGGACTGTTTCCTTAACCTACAACGCCGGCTTTTCTGACTCACAACCTGTAAGTATGTTTTCATATTTAAAGAATTTGCCACTGATGATTCAAACGTGAGTTTTGAGCAATGTAGAGTAGCGCTTGTTGTTTGTCGTTTCTCTGATCACAAATGCAGACATGGTTTTATGTTTACGTGGCGCGATAAGCAACGCAACTCGTAAAAAGACAGTATAAGTCATTATAATGCGTAATTATGTCCCCACTGGATGCAACAAATGCCACGTGTATAATGGGTTTCATTGTTTTTGTCTCGTCGCGCCGGGACACGGCATCACCGTCACCGCTTGAGGTATTTGGCCAATCACAATGCACTGGATAGCTGGCCAATCAGAGCACACCTCGCTTTTCAGAACGATGAGCTTTGTAAAAATCGACGTGTTTCAGAAAGGCGGGGCATAGAGGAGAAACAATGTACAGTTTGTGGAAAATAATGTGTTTTTTTAACCTTAAACCGCATAAACACATTTCATTACACCAAATACACAAAATAATGTTCTTTTTAGCAACGTCATATGACCCCTTTTACTTTTAGAAAGAATATCTCTTTGGGTTTGAGACTTTAATCTTTGCAACTTTACGGGTCTTATATATGCACGCACAGCTTGTAACACTCCAAAGACTAAGGAAAACATGAAATTTCATCACATGACCCCTTTAATAACATTACGGTTGAACCACTGATGTCACATGGACTATTTTAACAATGTCTTTACTACCTTTCTCGGCCTTGAACAAGGAGCACAGCTTACCCCATCCCATCTCCTACATGTAAACACAAGAGATCCTGTGATGTGCTACTCGTACTTGATCTTTAAATACAACAACAGCTTTCAGCTGTCGATCTGAGACCACAGAGCATAGATATGCACTGAGAAAGGAAAGGACTTTCCTTCAGCTGACTGAAACTTCTTTGGAGAATGTGCATTTGCAAAACAAGGCACTGAACATTTCCCACAGGACCACTGATGCACCAAAGCGCTTGCAAAAGCAATCATCTGAGATACATCTAGGAGGCGCTGACAATTCCCATCATAAATGCGCACTGCATTTTAAAGGCATCTATGTGCTGTTGAGGTGAATGGGTTTTTTAATGTACCGGCCCATGCGGGTGACCTTGATAGCCAATGCAGACAATTCCTAACTTAATTAAATGAGGCTAGAATGGTGCATTCATGCACATCCAGGGCAAGTAATACTATTAAGGTCCTGTCAATAGACTTTGAGGTGTGAAATGCTGTCCTCTGGTCTATAAAAGTCACATTTATAGCAAGAACAAAAGTTCAGCTGTTTTGTAAAGGAAAGCTATTGGACTTCCACCATTTTTGGAGTTATTATTTTGAGCTGCTTAATTATCAAAAGTGGCACGTTTTTTGCTTCACTGTGAGTGCTAGACTGTTTAAAGCATATTTTGATGAGAACTTTCTGTGCCTTCCTGAACTCTTTGCAACAGATAAGGTTTTATATGTAATGAGATATGTACTTAATGGGAAGGATCAGTGCATTTGTGCCCAAGTTATTTATTAGGGATCTCATGCAAAGTGGTTGCTGCACAGCTCTTTTACATATTATAACCATGAAGATAACAGGAAGGATGACAGATCAGCACAGCATTTAATTAAGTTAGAAGGTCTTAAATGGTCCTAACTTAATTAAGTGAGTTAATACATAAATGGTGTACACATGAACATCCAGGGCAACTATTATCATTAAAGGTCTGTCCAGAGACCACCTGGAGGTGGGAAAATCCATCCTCTGGTCTATAGCAGTCAGGGTTGTAGCTAGCACACATCTTTAAAGGGTTAGTTCACCCAAAAATGAAAATTAGACTGTTTTATTCACCCTTGAGGCATCCTAGGTGTATATGACTTTCTTCTTTCAGACGAATTCAGTCAGAGTTATATTAAAAATTGTCCTGGCTATTCCAAGCTCTATCATTACAGTCAGCGGGTGTTGCAGTTGAACAGTCCACAAGCCGTCAAATAAAGCGCACGCATCCATAATAAACGTGCCTCACACCGCTCCTGGGCGTGAATAAAGGCCTCCTGTAGCGAATCCATGTGTTTTTTTTAAAGAAAAATATCCATATTTCAAACGTAGTAAACACTTTTCTCTCACTTCCGGTATCTGTCATATGCGGAAGGCATTCCGGCGGATGACGTAAGACGTCAGCGTTGCGTGATTAGTGACAAACGCGTAGAACAAAACAAAACGCCGGTCACGAATTAGAAGTACAAACCGAGGATTTGCAAAGAAAAATGTCATAGGATTTCGATATAAACCAAGAGGAGACTGGTTTTCCTTTGCTAAAGTAAGGAAACTTTGCTTTCTTTGCTCTTATAAACAAACTCGCGAGACTAGCATATCTCAAAGGCGCGCACACTGCGCATACGTCTTGCGTCATCCGCCCGAACGTCTTCCACGTATGACAGATACCGGAAGTGAGAGAAAAGTGTTTATTACATTTGAAATACAGTGACATGCGAAAGTTTGGGAACCCCTTGCAGAATCTGTGAAAATGTGAATAATTTTAACAAAATAAGAGAGATCATACAAAATGCATGTTATTTTTTATTTAGTACTGTACCGAGTAAGATATTTTACAGAAAAGATGTTTACATATAGTCTACAAGACAAAAAAAATATAAAAAAAATAACCCCCTTCAACAGTTTGGGAACCCTTGGTTCTTAATACAGTGTGTGGTTACCTGGATGATCTACCACTGTTTTTTGTTTTGTGATGGTTGTTCATGAGTCCCTTGTTTGTTCTGAACAGTTAAACTGAGCACTGTTCCTCAGAAAAATCCTCTGTGTCCTGCTCTTCATCCTGTTCAAAAGTTTTTTCTCTTAATGCATCGTGTTTCCTGCTGTTCCTTTTATTTGACGACTTGTGGACTGTTCAACTGCAACACCCGCTGACTGTAATGATAGAGCTTGGAATAGCCAGGACAATTTTTAATATAACTCCGACTGGATTCGTCTGAAAGAAGAAAGTCATATACACCTAGGATGCCTCGAGGGTGAGTAAAACACAGGCTAATTTTCATTTTTGGGTAAACTAACCCTTTAAGTTGTTAAGGGCTTCTGGTCATATAGAGTTTCAAATTACTGGCTATGTCCAACCAGCTCAATGACTCAGGAATAGGGATGTGCAAATCAACTAGCTAAATAAAGCACTGCTGGTAAAAAAATATTAAAATGAAAGGGAAAATGACCAAAAATGAAAATCCGGTCATCATTAACTCATGTCACAGTTTTTTGGTCAATACAACGGAAGTTAATGGGCAACAAAACTGTTACCAACATTCTTTGAAATATCTTCTTTGGTGTTCAACAGAATAAAGTAGTTGCTTATTATCGTGCCTATTATTAACATATTGGCTGTTTATTAGTAATTATAAAGCACATATTATGACCCTATTCTACAACCCTAATCCTATCCAATACTTAAATTTAACAACTACCATACTAACTATTAATAAGCAGCAAATTAGGAGTTCATTGAGGCAAAAGTCGTAGTTAATGGTTTGTTAATAGCAAGAATTGGACCTTAAAATAAAGTGTAACCAGAAAGTCATACGTGTTTATAATGACTTAAGGGTAAGTAAATTACAGAATTTTCATTTTGGGTGAACTATCACTTAAGGAACACTGTGTATGTAAGAAAATCTATATCTTCTTGTCAGTTGTTGGAAGGGCTGCACGATTTGGAAAAAAATAATAAATTACAAATTTTCTACAATTTAAAATATTGTGATATAAATAAATATGTGTGTATGTGTGTGTTTCCAGGTTTGATGTGCTTGTTTGTAGGGCTACTTGGTATAGGAAATTATGATCCGCACTCACGAGAACAATCTTCTTTTTTTCTTTTATTTTACATTCATTATTGATGGGAAAAGACACAAACGTTTCGGCTCAAAGCCTTCCTCAGTGTGTCTCAATGTAAAATAAAAGAAAAAATAAGATTGTTCTCGTGAGTGCAGATCATAATTTCCTATACTAAGTAACTCAACAGATTGACGCTCCAAAATAAAAAGATCAAGTAACGCAAGAGCGCAGTGCAAACGACATTGTTAAACTTGTTTGTAGGGCGGCACGATTTTGCCAACATTTTGTAATATTTATTATTATTTTGTAATTATTATTATTATTATTATAAGCTGCATAAAAAACACTAAATAAAATTAACAAAATAAAAATGAACACTATTGTACTTCGACCATAAAATAAAAACCAATTATATATTTAATACAAATTAAATAATAATTTTACTGTGTAAGTGTAGAATTACAATACTCATATTTATGGCTGTCTTAATTTCTTTATCATCAACATTTTATTTTCAGTGCAGAAAGTCCTTAAAATATATATTTTTTGTTGAGAACAGCCGCTTTATTTTAGGCAACTTAAATTCAGAGCAGATCCAGAGATGAGTGGAGTGAGGGAGTAGCATCTACTCCTACTTGCGTGTAAACACAGTACTGCACTTCACTCACGCAGCAAATATTTATTGAATTAAACAACAGTTTTTACGATTTGATAAATCACACTAATATATATTGCATATCGGTTTTCATTTCAATTAATCATGCCACCCTAGTTTCAGGATTCCCGATATGATCCGTTAACTGCTGCGACGGGACCAATGAGTCAGTTAGTTAAACTTAAGACAGAATCATTGAGAAGAGAGTCATAAATGAATAATTTAGAAATGTTTATGACCGGATCGACTGATTCACTGAACAGATTCATCATTCAAAAAACTTATCATGAACCTCTACAAATGGACCACTCATTCATTTTACTGTAACTGCACTCTCGCTTTATTATAAAGGATTATATGCACTCTTGAATATTTCCAAAGATTTGTACAGCATCTTGCTATTCTTGACACAAAGCGCTGGCAGGGGCAGAGGTGAGGCAGGGCCAATAAGATCCAATTAGATTTATGGGAGGGAGGTATCTGTCAAGACAGCAAAGCAGGAAGACCGGTACCGCAACAGGAAAGAGCTCATGGTTAGTGAAGCCTCTGGCTCCAGTCCCGAACACCAGCCTTCCATATAACGGAAGAGAAAATGGGCGAGCGAGCCAAAGGAAGAGGAAGAAAAAGAGATTTATCAGATTTACAGCACCGGAGCCTCTCCTGCATTCAGTAAGTGTAGCCATGCAGTAAACACACCGCACCAAGTCATTAATCAGAGCCGCTGCTGCTGTCTATGCCGTATCACCTGCACTGCTACACCCCAAGTGTTTATATGTGTCAGTGAGCGTCCTTAATGCGCATACATGAGTGAATGACAGAAAAACAGAGACATAAAGGTACGGGATGACAGATGGAAAGACCGAAGGCGAATGAGAACAGAGGACGTAACTGGGTTTTACAAGAGAAGATCGGACGAAAGACAAAAAGCGAGAGTGAGAGTGTGAAAAAAAAAGGCATAACGTATGGTCCTGTCTCTTACTTTAAATCTGGATGCAATTATGCATTTTATAGATTATCTACCGCGTACTAAAAGATCTATGGTTAATGCTGCCATGGGGAAAATGAATCATCATGAATCTTTTTTCCCCTGTAGAAGGATACCTCCTTCGAGAGGCAATTCTGCAGCGGACCTCAGTACAAAAAGAACACTGGATCAGCATGCCTGAGCCTAATCGAACGCTACAAACTCAATACAAGCAGAGAGAGCTGAGAAAGCCGCGGCAGTAATTAAGTATCAGAAGAATCAATTCCTCATTTCAGAATAATTACGGCCTCGTGATGTGGTGTCGGACTGATTGGCTTGATTTACTGGTGTAATGGTTTTCCACTAACACAAAGCCCTGCATACCTTCGCAATGCACTGATAAGGGGAAAATATGATATTTGGTTCAACGCTCAAATATAGGCATTCAATTTGAAGCTGTGTGTGCATAATTAGAAACTTTGTATTTTAGGAGGATCACTATCCTTTAGGCCACGTCCTGTGCCTTTTTAACACTCCTAGCTTTTCATGAAAAACTCAGTCGGTCTTCATTGAAATGAATCAGAGGTTTTAAGAGATGAAATTGATAAACGACCTTTGAAAGTGATTCAAGTCATTAATGTTGTTCGCAAAAGTTTCATTCTTACCATTCTTCCTCCTCAGAGGACTCAGAGTTGCGCACTTTGTCGGGGTCAGGAAGTGTGCTGGGGTCAAATTCTTCATCGGCACCTGACAGATACGCTACCGCCTCCTCCTCATCATCATCGTCGTCATCATCACCTTTCTTCTTCTCCTGTGTGACAGAGAGAAAACTTCAATTACATAATGTACTTATTTATCGTTAATACTGATTATCTGATATCTTTTACGATGGCACCTTTCGCAATTAATATTTTCTTTCCCCATTAACTTGTAACATTGAATTTGTAGTGTAAGGGGTCCTGCACCAGCTGAGCAACTGCCATTGAGAAAGCTAATGGATAGATCTCTCTAGGTATTATAAATGCACTTGTGGCCATTAGAGGTCCTTCACATCCTGTTCAATGGATACCATCTCCCGGAATATGTCAGGTCTTTGATCATTTACAACTAAAGTGTGTCCGTTTCCTCCAGCGATAGTGGTAAAGGAATCGATTCCAGCCCTGTCTTTGTTCATTAAAAGTTTCAAAAACCTAACAACTCAGACCTTGGGCTGGTCACAACCAGATTTATTTTCCCACTGGACTGCTGCACCTCCAGACGGACTAGCTGTGCCCTCAAGCAAGGTTCTTAATCTTGGTAAGGTCTATAGTGTGCACCATGACCCCCTGTTCTGACCTCTTCTTCTTTGGTTTAAGACAAAGAAAAACAAATGTCTGTGGTCAAACGGTTTTGTTTCTTACACATAACTCCATAAATCTAAATCTCAATTCACAGATCTACAGTAATATGCACATCTAAATAGACCGCCCATATTGGTAGAGGCTGAATTGTCTGTGCCAGGATAATATTGTGGTATAATCTATTACAGATAAAGGAACAAAATGAAAATCATATAAAAGAAACTGTGCTTGGTCACTTCACAGGTTGAATTCTTCATGTCTAAGTGGGTGGTACTTGGTCTGAATAATCTACAGTGTAGAACAGCTTTCTGCAGTCAAAGATTTGGTTAGGGGGACCGTGTATATCTGTGCTTGGACCTGATATGGGGTTTCTTTAGGTACAGGATACTCTGTATTCAGCATTGCTTCTGTCGGTGCTGTAATCTAATCATGCTTTGTAAGACCTATTTGAATTCTGCTGACAGACCTGCGCTTTGAACAGATACGTCTATGTGTGCTGAATAACGCCAGAGAACGAGAACAGATATAAACGGGGGTCAGTATAAAATACTCTGGAATAAAGCAAGAACTTAAAACAAAACTAGAAAAAAAATTTAATACACTAAAATGACAATAAATAGTACTCTACCATTCAATTGCTTCTGGTCAGTATTTAAACAAAAAAAATTAATACTTTTATTCTGCAAGAATATATTAAAATTATCAAAAATTTTGGACTTTTTAAAGGGGACATCAGATGCTCATTTTCCACAAGTTGGTATGATTCTTTATGTCTTCATGAAAAGTCTATAACATACTTTGATTAAAATTTCTCAATGGTAGTGTAAAACAACACCCTTTTTACCCTGTCAAATACAGCTCCGTTCACAGCGACCCGTTTCGGTGCATGTCCCTTTAAATGCTAATGAGTTACTGCTTGCCCTGTCTTCAGTGGGGTGACGAGCAGCTCTCTGAGATTGTAACTTTAGCTACATTCGTGCTAACTAGCACACTATTAGAAAAGGCAATTTGCAATAACCTTATACTCACTTCTGGATTTGAGGCTGAATCACGAATGATTTGCGTGAACAAAACGCATTTAGGTAGATTGGGGGCACATTCACTTCAAAAACAAACATAATCCACTGCGTCTACAGCAGCTCAGATGTCGGGAGTAAATGACGACTGCTATGTTCATTATTACATCCAACAACAAAACACCTCAATCGCTTGCCATTCTTGTCTACTTCAGCTCCGGCGTTGAAACAATGGCTGTTCAGGGCAGGTCTATGCTAAAACGGCAGTGTCCGTCAATAGTCGTGGGAAGGGCCTTGGTGTTGTCACTCTGCCAATCTGTGAATAGCTTAATCTGAGACAGTGCTTATGATTAGAGGTGATTAAAAAAAAGGCACTGGGTGGATTTTTATCATTATAGTGTGGTTGTGTAACACACACTGCCAACACACATTTATGTTCAAACACAATGTAAAAGTGAATTTTGCATCTGATGTCCCCTTTAAATCATCATATAATCCTAAAAAAAAAAGTATCACTATTTCCACAAAAAGTTTAGGCAGCAAAACTGCTTAAGGCATATTTTCTGTGACTGTGGCAACCTTCTACAAATGAAATTAAGGTATGTTTTTTTTGTAAATGAATGGCGTTACATTAACGAATTTCTCTGTAATGACTGTCACCGATTGAGCAACAAGACTCTGTCGGGTCCATCTATTTCCTCAAACGTCTCGGGAGGAGCCCCAAAAGAAGCGAAATTGACAGGAAATGAAGCGGCACTGCTATCTGTTACAGCATATGCTGTCAAAAGGGCGATTCAATAGCTCTCTAAATTAATCTGGACCACGTGTAATGACGGACAGATCGACCACCAATCGGGCTGTTAAGTCGAAGGAATGAGTGAATGCTAAAAGAGTGCTGAGATTCATTGTTAGGGTGGTGATGAATAGTCACGCGTTCTTGGACAGACCGCTGCATTGATCAGATGACAAACGAGAGGAGAGCAGCAGCTGCATTTCCATATGGATGCGCAGAGCTCAATCCCCCAGCGAGGACAGGCAGAGAGAGACAGGACACATGACAGCTGCCATCCTGTGAATTATGCGTTGTCTGTGGGAGGGAAAAGCCAGAAACTGAGGGGCATCTTTCCCCTCTGACTTCCTGTGACAGGAATTCCTCATTTCAAATCATAAACCATTTATGGACCTTTTAGATCCTCAAATTTGCTTTAAATGTGCTGTTGCTTTAAATTCACATACAATACCGGCAGCTATCATCATTAACATCCAGCTTTCAAGATGACTTTGAGCTATGGTTGACGTACCTCTTTATGCTGTTTGCTCGCTTCCCTCCGAGCTGCTTTCTCCTTCAGTCTTTTCTCCTGTTGAAAACGAGAGAGAGAAAAAAAGAAACAACTTAATAAATAGGCGCTCAGGTACTTGTATTTGGTCACTCCACAATCTCATAAACATGTCAAACAGCAAGGGGTTGAAATGATTACACAGACTCTGGGAAAAGAAAGCACAATTTAACTTCAGTGCTCTGCATTTTTTTCAGAGAGAGAACGAACAGGACTTGATGTTTGTCTTGTGTCATTTTCCAATATAAAGGGGCGACTGGACTACCAGACACAACTATACACATTAGTGACTCACAGATGTCTGGAAGACGGGAAATATTAAAAGGTTGAGGGTTGAATAGAAATCAGAGCGCTGAGAGTGTAATAAACCCAATGTCAAGTGCATTTCATTGGCTTTTCATTACTTTCGTCAATGTCAAATGATGCTAAATGTGGAAACATATCCACCGGTTCACTTGGATACGTCATTGCACAAATATCAGTGCCACAAAATCTAAGTCAGTGACAGTGGTGGGTTGCCATTAAATATGTCATAATATATTGCATAAAACATTTGGTAACACTTTAGAATACAGAACAAATATTCACAATTAACTAAGAGTTTTCCCTGAACAAACTCCTAATTTGCTGCTTATTAATAGTTAGTAAGGTAGTTATTAATGTTAGGTAGGACTAAGGGATCTAAAATATGGTCATGCAGAATAAGGCGTCAATATGTGCTTTATAAGTACTAATAAACATCCAATATGCTAGTAATATGCATGTTAGTAATAATAAAGTGCTACCAAACATTTAAACTAATGTTTAAATCTCATTGGAGATCTCTTTTATAGAAATACTTAATTTCAAATGACGTCACTACTGCTTATTAAAAAGTATTTCAGGCGTTTCTTCTGGTGTTAATTTTGTTTCATGTGACATTTTTTAACTATAATAGTTTCTTAATTTCTTTAATAAATTTTTAAAAAAAGTTTAAAAAAGTGTGAGTTTGACCTGAGCATATTTGAGAAAGCCAGGAACATTCTTCTATCTAAAAACTCTCTAAATAGGTTATTATCCTCCCACAGATCAGCAAGAACACTGTGGTACTCTATAAAACTATATTCTTATTAAAATAATGCATAAGTTTGATATTAATAGCTTAGGAGGTCTAAGGACTCAGCATACCCTTAAAGTTCAACTTTACTGACACATCTTGAGTTGCTGACTTGACAGCAAACAGCAAAACCCATCAGCAGTTTTAAAGGAACAGAAAAAACCCTATGCATGATGTAAGTCTTAGGGTTCAGCTACAGATGTTGTTTTGCTGGAGTAATAAAGACTCCATAAGAGAATATGAAACACAAAGGCACCAGCGAGCCTAGCGTGTCTGATTAATGAACATGAGCACGTATCTGATGGATTACTGGGTAGCTGCCTCTCAAAGTCTCTGACAGCACAAAATACTAAATCAAAATGGATTAGGATGGTTAGGCTTTTCACAGGAATGTTCACAGACAATGTCTTCTGCCTCGTGACTTTCAGAGAAAAAATGAATTTTTTTTTTACTGTATGCCAGTCTGCATGTCAGTACTTGACAGAAGAAATTGGCAGGAGAGACTGGCACCAGCATGTTTTATTTTAGTTTTTGCTTGGCTGAGATATGAAAGATTTAAAATGTACTATGCTGGGTTAACATAGACAACAACCTCTCTGTTTATAAAAAAATAGGGCCAAATATTCAGTTTCAGCTTATTAAAATCAAAGAGAATTTAGTTTATAACACAACTTAATTCCACAATTTGATGTATTTCTGAGCAAAATAGTTTTTTTTATAAGATTAAAAAAAAAAGGTGATTGTATTGATTGGAAAAAAAGTGGCCATTACATACAAATAGAGCCTGACCAGAATGAGAGTTTACCAAAACATGGGCTAAATAGCTGTGTGGCTATTGGGGAACATTACATATAACATGTAAAGTCTAAGTAATGTCAGAAGAACAGGATTGTTGTTTCAGAGATTACGTAAAAAAAAAAAAAATTATTCAATGAAATACCTGCATCTTATTTTACATTGACTTTAATATTTGCTTTTCAATGGATGACTCATCTGGTTAAATGTTTGGCAAAAACCAAGCCAAGACCTAGTGCAGGAACTACCAAACTTTTGTTGTCTGTCAAAGCTTTATGACAAAATATTTGCTTGAAGTACATCTGAGATTTGAATTGATTATTTAGATATTTTAACAACACATTTCCATGTTCATGATTTACTGATGTAGGTTAATAGTCACATGACATGCAGGTAAACAAATAAAATATTTATTATTTTTAGAGTTTTTAATTTTTAAAAAGGTTTACTTTAATTTAAAATGTTTATGATTAATTATTTGTCCGTAAATCATTTAATCTTGTGAGTAAGCATTTTATTTTGACTGTCTTTATTCTAAGATTTTTATGATTTTATTAATTATTCATTTTTATTTCATTTGTATTTTTGTGATTTACTTTGGAGTTTGGAAAACCCTGATCTACTGTTTAGCAGACATATTAAGCCATGGTGCTCATATGATTGCTGCAAGTTCAACTCTTTTTCCAATCAGTTCCTGCCTTCTGTACTCTATCGTTAAAAAAAAGTGGAAAACAGCCAAAAATCGAATAAAAACTAACTCTAGGTTTAACTGGAATGAAAAAGGGCCACTGAAACAGGACATAAAGAACATGGCGCTCATCTGCTCTGTGTCCAGTTATAGAAATAGATCCCATTACTTCTGTGCTTTCTCACTGAGCTACACTCTCCCAGCGATCGATTTCAAAAAAACAAAAATAAACTGAACTACATCAGACATAAACTAGGGATGCACTTCACCATACTTGACTCTCAACGAGAAAGACTCTTTGCTGGAACAATGCAAATGGTGTGACTTTGCCGGAGAGCAATCCTTTAAAAGCTTGTCCAATAGCTTGTCTCAGAACTACAGTAATAATTCACGGAGGCCCAATCTCAGCACTGACGCCTGGAGCTTCAAGCCACGCTGCCTGCTCAGGCATCTGTTATTTCGATTTGCCTGAACCTGCGAGAGCACCAGCCACAGGGCCAGAGTGTCTTTTCGATTGCCCACTGCCCTCAGCTCCTTCAATATTACTTTAATCTGAAACACCTGGAGCTGAACACAATAAATAAAGTGATTCAAAGAAGCCTTTTGACTCCAGGAGGATCTATATAAACTTGGCATGAACCAGGAGGATGGAAAATATGATGGTATGGTCTATCTCACCCTATGTTTCTCCTTGATTTTACGACGGTACTCGATCTTGTCGAACTCCTGGTCTTCCTTGCGAAGCCGCTCTTTGGCTGCTTCCATGTTAATGCCAGACGTTTCCTCCTCCTCTTCATCTAGTACCATGGTCTTTTGCAATGGAGGCCACTGCTGCACCACCTGCACACATACATCACAGTTAATGTACACTGCCTTTTATGACTCTCAGTAATGTGTTTCTGATCATACAAACCTCTCCCTCCTCAGTGAAGATCTTCTTAGTGTTGACCCTGAAGTTCTTTTTCTGTATTTTCTTTGCATCTTTGAATTTGGATTCCTTTTGTTTCTGATTCTTGGCCTTAGCATCTGTGCCCTACAGAAAGAGAAAATGTATTTTACACAAGCAGATGTAATTATAAAAGCTGTCATTTTTACCTCCCTGGGGCCAAGATTAAAAAAAGCGAATTCATAAAGGAGCTCCGAAAGCAGTTCATTTGATCCCGTCATTCAACCAGGACATTGAGACACCCAACACCACTCCACAATATTACTTTCTCCTCTCTAGTCATTAAAGTCGATTGCTGATGAGATGTGAAAAGGTTCAGATCTTGAGGAAAACCACTTTCCACTTAAACACTCTGCAAACTCGAAAAAAGATACAACTATTAAAGTGCAGATGAGCAAGTGTGTCGTTGTAACAGCCTTTAGCCCTTGTGCATCAAATTTTAACAAAAATTGTTGACTTAATTGACTATAAAAATCTAAATCAAATCATTTACAAGGTGTTGACTAATCAATATATCCACATTTGCAGAGAAAAGCCAGCAAAAGATGATAATTCAAAGACATTTTATTATTGTGATATGTAATAATTAAATAGATGTCAAATGTCTTTAGAACTCTCTATATATTGTGTTTTATTACCATATTTTAATTATAAATCGAGTTGTTGCTTTGATCATTTAATTCTTTATATGCATGTACAGTGGGTAAGGAAAGTATTCAGACCCCCTTAAATTTTTCACTCTTTGTTATATTGCAGCCATTTGCTAAAATCATTTAAGTTATTTTTTTTTCCTCAATGTACACACAGCACCCCATATTGACAGAAAAACACAGAATTGTTGACATTTTTGCAGATTTATTAAAAAAGAAAAACTGAAATATCACATGGTCCTAAGTATTCAGACCCTTTGCTGTGACACTCATATATTGTAAAATATTAAAATTTAAAATAATTGTTGTTTTCTATACTTTACGATTAATTTATTCCTGTGAATATTTAGCAGCCATTACTCCAGCCTTCAGTGGCACATGGTCCTTTAGAAATCATTTTAATATGCTGTTTTGGTGTTTAAGAAACATTTCTTACTGTTGAAAACAGTTGCTGCTTCTTAGTTTTGTTAAAACTGTGACTGATAAAGAACAGCATTTTTTAAAATGTCTTTACATTTGAATTTAATCGGTCAATAGAATCATTATTCTTTAAAATACTAATAATAATACCAAATGTTTAATAATTAACTATTTTTAATAATAACAATAAATTATAGGGCTAAATTAATACAACTGACAGCCCTTGTTTTGGCAAAGTAGCTGTATGGAAAGTTTTTAAATTATTTTAATATTATTTAAAAATATATATATCTGACTGTACTGCAGTATTTGATTGTGGAGCCTCAAGACATATCAGGCAATTCTGACATGACTCACAGGTCCGCGTCTCTCATAAACCTGCCAGGTCTGCACAGGAGTCATGTTAACTGCGTCTCAAAGGCATATTCAGAGGAAAGTTACATAATTTAGCATGTTTTCATATCTAGAGGCCTATTAAAACCACGCGCTCTGAACGCCAAGTGCACAGAACCTCGAATAGAAGCTCTTCTGAATCACAGTGCAATGGGTCACAACAGCCGAGACGTTAGGAGGAAGATGACTGAAAAAAAATGTCAATTTCTCAAGCACCACAGACACAATCTTCCCACTGTTACAAAGATAAGCTGCATTCACTATTTTCCATGTTTCATGTTAAGGATAAAGCTGAAGTGTGTAATTTGTATTCAAACATTTTTTAGATAATTTGTGATTCTGTATTCTCAATTGAATTCCTGCGTTATGTTAAAATAGATGCAAATGATGCATTCAGGAACGTCCTGTTTCTGCATGACAAAATGTGACTATTACTCGGTTATAAAGCCAAAAGTATATGGACATTTTCCTCTAATTAATAGTTTGAGCCATTTCTGTCACACTTATTACTAGCAGGTGCATAAAATCAAACATTCAGCCATGAATTTGCCTTAGGCAACCATTTACAGTGGTGTGAAAAAGTGTTGGCCCCCTTCCTGATTTCTTATTTTTTTGCATATTTGTCACACTTTAATGTTTCAGATCATCAAACTAATTTAAATATTAGTAAAAGATAACACAAGTGAACACAACATGCAGTTTTTAAATGAAGGTTTTTATTATTAAGGGAAAACTAAATCCAAAACTACATGGCCCTGTGTGAAAAGTGTTTGCCCCCTAAACCTAATAACTGGTTGGGCCACCCTTAGCAGCAACAACTGCAATCAAGCGTTTGCGATAACTTGCAATGAGTCTGTTACAGCGCTGTGGAGGAATTTTGGTCCACTCATCTATGCAGAATTGTTGTAATTCAGCCACATTGGAGGGTTTTCGAGCATGAACTGCCTTTTTAAGGTCATGCCACAGCATCTCAATAGGATTCAGGTCAGGACTTTGACTAGGCCACTCCAAAGTCTTCATTTTGTTTTTCTTCAGCCATTCAGAGGTGGACTTGCTGGTGTGTTTTGGATCATTGTCCTGCTGCAGAACCCAAGTGCACTTGAACTTGAGGTCACGAACAGATGGCCGGACATTCTCCTTCAGGATTTTTTGGTAAACAGCAGAATTCATGGTTCATGGTTCCATCACAGCAAGTCTTCCAGGTCCTGAAGCAGCAAAACAGCCCCAGACATCACACTACCACCACCATATATTACTGGGCCATGTAGTTTTGGATTTTGTTTTCCTTTAATAATAAAAACCTTCATTTAAAAACTGCATGTTGTGTTCACTTGTGTTATCTTTGACTAATATTTAAATTAGTTTGATGATCTGAAACATTAAAGTGTGACAAACATGCAAAAAAATAAGAAATCAGGAAGGGGGCCAACACTTTTTCACACCACTGTAAATTGAAATGGGACCCCTTAACTGCTAATAATTCATGTGTTCACAAAGCACAGCCCATCAGAAATGTGCAATAACTGTAATTACACCAGATGCGTGTTGTTTATTTACCTCATCATCCTGGCTCTCTTCACTGATATTGAACACATCTTTACGCTTGACAGTCAGTAGGTCCTGATCTTTCTGGTCATCCTCATCCTCTTCATTAAAGCCACATAGCAGAGCTGCAGGCTTTAATGTCTCCTCATCCTTATTCTCATCCTCATCATTCTCATCCTCTTCTTCCTCAGACTGTGAGGACTGAGACTGCTCTCCTTTGAGTTGGGCTTTGAAACTCTTCAGCTCATCTTCAGACTGGTGTCCTGCAGCGCCGCTGTTGTCCTGCGTCACTCCACTCTTCTGCTGCTGGGCCTTATTGAGGAAACGGACCCGCGGAGCCACCGCCAAACCCAGTGACCTGACAGCGACAAGACCATACAAAGATGTCAGCTTAACATCAAATCAAATGCATTTAAAAAAAATCCCATTTGAGTTATTTTTGCCACTTTTTATAAAGTCTTAAAAATAAAATGTTTTGTAAAAAATAAAGCATTTATAATAGAGTATATATTCTATAATATATCAAATGTGCATTAATAAAACGCCAAATGTTTTTTAAAAATTAAAACAGTTATATGCTGTTTTAAAAGAAAGTAACTGCTCAAATATGATTATAAACGATTACTGAATATAGTGACAATTTTTTACTATTTCAGTTCTTTTAACCACTTTTTATTAATAGAGACATTTGCAGATGGGCAAAAAAAGCTTTTAGAACAAAACATTTATATAATATTTGTATATTTTTCATATTAATAAAACAATTTTTTACAAATAAATTAAAAGGTACATGCTGCTTTAAAATGTTCAAGTATGATCAGAAATATGACCTCTGAACATACAGTGACAGGTCATTTTTGACACTTTTTATAAATAAAGACAGTTTTGGACAGGGTATGGAAAAATAGAGACAAGATTATGGACACAAACCACTAGACTATAATGAATTATGAACAAAATAATTGTATTAAACAGTCTCTGCTTTCAAAACAGATGGTGATGGTTTCTTTTTGGATGATTTAATTGCATAACAATGACACATCATTTGAAGTCCTCAAGAGTGTGTTCAAAGTGGACACGCATGGCACACACACAAACACATTTACACAGAGGACTGCTGGGCATTACTTCATAGCATCCACTCACATGGCATATTCTGGGAGTTTGAGCTGGAAAACATCAAAGACGTCTTTGTTCTTCATCAGATAGATGGAGCGGAGGTAGGACACAAAACACTGCCGTTGAGAGGAGGGGAAAAAGAGAAGAGGCATTACGGAGGATAAAATCTGAAAACTTATCCCTGATAAACACATTAGTGAGAGTGCACTAGCAGGCGTTCATGGCAGCAATTTGGCCGATTACATTTCATGCTGTTCTTCTCTCTATAATGAGCCTCACAAAGCTCAGCCCTGAGCGTGAGGCAGACAATCAGATTATCCTAAAAGCATGGCTCTGCTCTACAGTATAGCATCAAGCTTTAGTGTTTGAGACGAGGTGTGACAGACTGCACAGGAACTCAGGTCTCCTCGGGCCTTACCCTCTGTGCTCGTTCCTTCTGCTCCTTCTCCTGTGCCAGGAAGGCCTCCAACTTCTGCTGGACGAACACCAACTTCTCTGGGTTCACCCTGTGAATGAATTAAAACAAATGATTAAAGGCATAGTTCACCCAAAAATAGAAATTCTGTCATTAATTACTCCGTTCGTCTTCAGAACACAAATTAAGATATTTTTGATGAATTCTGAGAGCTCTCTGACCCTCCTATAGACATCAGTGGTTCAACCGTAATTTTATGAAGCTATGAGAATACTTTGTGCGAAAAGAAAACAAAAATAACTTTATTCAACAATTTGTCTCCTCCGCGTCACCCTATAGCGCCATTTTGGAGAGTATCACATACGTGAAAATGGTGCTATTTTTAGCTATTTTTCTGTTTTCTTTTTGCACAAAAAGTATTCTCATAGCTCCTTGAAATTATGGTTGAACCACTGATGTCACATGGATTATTTTAACGATGTCCTTGCTACGTTTCTGGACCTTGATCGTGGTAGTGCCCTTGCTGTATATGGGACGGTTAGAGAGCTCTCAGATTCCTTCAAAAATATTTTTATCTGTGTTCCGAAGATGAACAGAGGTCTTATGGGTTTGGAACAACATGAGGATGAGTAATTAATGACAGAATTTTCATTTTTGGGTGAACTATCCCTTTAAGTCAATGGCCTTATTTACACCTGGTATTAACATCTGTCAAGCGGTCAGTGCAGGTGTAAACAGAGTCCAACATATTTGTGATTGGATGAAAATTTAAAAATATAGAGGTTTAATTAATTTTAAGTTTATTAACAACTCAAAAAACACTTTATTAACAATGAAATGGTTTATAATAAAACACATAAATAAACAAATACTTAGTTATAAAACAAATAAATTATTAAAAAAAAACACAGAAGCACATTATTTTATATTATTATATTTTGTATGATATAAAATGTTTAATTGAACTTTAAATTGAAATCATCGCATGCTGCTTTGAAAAAAAAAAAAAAACACCTGTCTACAAAAACGGCTGCTGATCATATAGTGACATAACTTGCTTTAAATAAAAGTGTCTAATTATGGAATATACACTAAATAAACACAAAAGTATTGGGACATCTGACCGTTACACCAACAGGGATTTCAATGAAATTGAAATTAAACAAACAACGGAATTTTTGCCCATTCCAGTCAGGCACTGATGTTTGTAAATGCAGTTGCAAATGCAACTAAATTAACTGAGCATTCTGGTTAAATTGGGACATTTCTGTGAATACAGTAACACTGAATAACAGCAAACATAAAATCAGGCCTGTGGAGACTGTGACTGCAGCTGCATTCTCACAGCAGATATCACAGATCATAATGATCTCACATGATCACATGCATTAAGCTGCCATCTTTCATTCTCAGCATGCATGTGGCTTCCTCTATTATTCACAAAGCCCATGCATACAGTCTCTGCTAAACACGTCACACACTACAACACTGACAAAACTACACATTAGCTCCTTATTTTCACTGCAAAACTGACTGCATGCAGTCACAGAGGAAAGGAGAGATGCACTCACTCGATTTTGTTAATGGGAACTTTCTTCTTTTGAAGCTGTGCAATCATGCCCTTCTCCTCTGAGGCCAATAGGACAAGGAGAGCTTCGCCTCCCTCCTTATACCTGCAGAGAAAGAGAGAAAGAGAATGCGTGTGTTAAAGGAATATTTCACTCAATTTCCTCATTTCTGTGCCACATAAAAATATCAGCAATCGGGTTTGGAATGGCATGACAGTGAGTGCATGAGGTCAGAATTTTTTCTTTTTTGGTGAACTGTCCCTTTAAGGACACACTAAGTGGTCTGCTGCAATACAGGCCTCTCACACAACCGTTTCTCTTTTTTTTAAATGCTCAGCTCTGTGAGTGTTCGTGTTAAAGCTCATGAGCTTTCTGCAGAGGGTGGTGATCTATGAAGGGGAGTTACTGAGATTATCGATTCCACACTGAAAAGACAAGCGTAGCACCAAGAAAAGAGAGTGAAGCTGGCAGCTGGGTGGATGGCAGGTGTGTGCTGTCTCGCTCTAAGCGCTGAGAAACTTGACATGTTTCTGTAACTATCCAGTGCCTAAAACGTGCCCTCAAGGTGAGACTGTAACAAGTCCAAAAATGGAAAAACTAAATAGCTGAGCTGCTGTTAATCCATCATGTGTCCAGTGTAAATAGACAAATCTGTACAGTGGTTAAATATGATTTTATGTAAGAGCTTACTCCAATGTCAACATTGTTTCCATATGTATTAGAAAAATGGAAGTGATGAGGAACGGTTCAAATCTGCCATCTAGTGTTTCAGATAAAACACTCTTCTGTTAAGATTTTTTACAATGCTTTATGAAAAATTAACCGTCACTAAATATACAGATTAAAACAGTTAATCAGTGTTACCTGGCTGTTCTGCCAACTCTGTGGATGTATGTGTTTGCATCTTCAGGACAGTCAAACTGCAGCACCCAGTTCACTGCAGGGAAGTCTAGGACCACAAACAAAAACCCATTAAATGTGTTTCAGTTACAGCTGTCCATCAAACTGAATTATTTACAGGACATGCTGCTTCATTAAAAAAATATTCACAAACATTTGCTGAGATTTGTGCTCAAATCAAATATTAAATTGACAGCAATTATTTCAGTCATTCAAAGCTAAAATGTGCATTTTTCCACAGAATAAATTTCCATTACCAAGTCCTCTGGCAGCGATGTCTGTGGCAAAGAGGACGGCTGAGGTCTTGCGGACAAAGTCATTATAAACCTCCACCCTCTTCATCTGCTGCTGTTTGCCATGCAAAGCAAGTACGGAGATACCCGGACGCAACCGGCAGAAGACCCGGAACAGATACTGAACCTGCACATACAGAACAACACCAATGCATTTCATCTTCATTACACTACTAGTAACACACTACCATTCAAAAGTTTTTTTGATCAATACTTTTGTTCAGCAAGCATGCATTTAATTGATTAAACAGTGAATATATTTATAATGTTACAAAAATGTTTGTTCTTCTTAACTTTCTATTCATTCAAAATTAAGCAGCACAACTGGTTTCAACACTGATAATAATAATAATAATAAGAAATGTTTCTTAAGCAGCAAATCAGCATATTAGAATGATTTCTAAACGATCATGTGACACTGAAGACTGGAGTAATGCTGCAAATTCAGCTTTGCAATCATGTATATTACATTTTAAAGTATATTCAAGTAAAAAAAAGATGTTATGGCAAATGAAAATAATATTTCAAAATGTTACTGTTTTCAAGTGTATTTTTGATCTAAATGCAAAATAAATTTCTAAAAGCAACCTTGGTGAGCATAAGAGACTCAAGAAAGGTTTACAGATTCTTTTGAACAGTAGTACAAGATATGTTTAATCATTTTTACTAGTGGTTTCAGACTTTTTAAACCCACTCCATTCTATGAAAACAGACACGGAGATGTACTACAGAAATGGTTTGAGCTGTTACCTCTTTGCAGCAGGCAAAAAAGACAATGATCTTCTTCTTAAGATGACTCCTCAAAAACGAGAAGAGCATGTTGACTTTCTGGTGCAGCTCACACACCATATAGTTCTGTTCCAGAGTGGCTGGTGTACTGCAGAGAAGATCAGTGTTTAAGAGCTTCGTGTCCATCCATGATGTTAAAAAGACATTAAAGGTATTGACCCCTCCAAAAAAGAAGATATTTGGAAGAAAGTGGGTAACTAAACAGTTGCTGGTAGCCATTGACTTCCACATAATTTTTTTTCAATACTAGGGAAGTCAGTAGGTACCGCAAACTGTTTGGTTACCAACATTCTTAAATTTTTTTGTGTGTGTGTTCTGAAGAATAAAGAAATTCTTACAAGTTTGGAACAACATGAGGTTCAGGAAATTATGACACAATTTTCATCTCTTTAAGAGCGGGCTGACTAACACAGATGCTCAACATAAATCACTATAAAACCATGAGCTTACCTGAACTTGGCCTGCTCATGGACCCACACATACTCTGGGTTCTTCAGGCTCAGTCTGGCCAGATCTTTGACAGACTTGGTTTGAGTGGCAGAGAAGAGAAGGGTCTGCCGTGTTTTCGGAAGGTTTTCAATAATGGCATTGAGCGTGTCGGCGAAACCCATGTCCAGAATTCTGTCGGCTTCATCAAGTACTGCCATGGAAGAGAAAATATATCATGTTATTTAAAGGTGACATATCATGAACATCTGACTTTTCCAGGTTTTAAGTGCTATAATCAGGTCCCTGGTGCATCTACCAACCAAGGAAACGTGAAAAAGATTAACCCAGTAACTTTGTTTTGGTAAGCTTTTTTCTGCAAGCCTCTGAGAAAACGAGCACGTCCGATTTCGCTCCCTTGGTGACGTGGCAAAGGGATCTCATTATAATATTACCACCCCTTAATCTAAAAGAGTTCCCACCCACGGCACCGTCATTTTGATTTCGCAAGCGACAACGGTGTACCAGTTCTAATGCCATGGCGAAAGTTTGAGCAAAACATGCTAGCTGTTCTGTCTTTGACTGCACAGACGAGCACAGAACAATATTTAGAGTCCCAGCCTCAGAGGAGACGAGAGCAGTGGATTTATTGATTTATTTAGGATACTGTATATTGCTGCTGCCACACACTTATTAACATGCAAATAATCAAGTTTGCTCACCTTTCAGAGTCTTTTTTGAGAGTGGAAAATCAGAGAACTTCACAGCCTCTTTGGGATTGATCTAGGAAAACAGTTACTCCTGTCAAAACCTTCACAGTGGCATGTTTTAAGATGGATTAGGTGTCTTCTGAAGGATATCAGGACTATTATCAATCTCAACAACAACACCACATAAAATAGAAGATGCTGAACAGTGCAACACGTCTGAATACTTGACATGCTGAAAAAACCTTGACATGTTAACTTTTATGTCTGTTACGTGGCCTGTTCTGTCCCAGGACTAAAAAACACTGACCACCAATAAAACAGTATCATGTTTATGTGAAGACCTGTGCTGACAAACAACCATCAGCAACACTTCAAGCACAACATCCACAGGACTAGTACTTGTAAACATTGCTTTTAAATGTCAAAAGACTGATCTGTCAAGCCAGATGCCACAACAGCTGCGTAACAGGTGGGTAAACACGTGGCAATCCCTAGAAACAAGTACTGTACGAGAAGTCAGAAATGCTTTGCAATATCAGCCTCATGATATCTCACCTCCGAGTATTTATTCACCAGCTTCTGTATGTTTTCTCTCTCCACCTCCCAGTCGCGTTTCTTGGTGGTCTTTTGAACTAGTTTGACTCGTTTCTTTGTTTTGTTGTATTTCCTTTTCCATTTGTCAAAATTCTTCACAGGGTCATCGGACATCTGGGTCTTCTCTTTATCCTTTTTATCCCGCATTTGCACTCTGTTTCGTTGACTAGCTATAGTGTAACAACACGTGAATGTTTACTTCGCGAGATGTTTTGCTGGCAGTGAGCGTTGCTGAGTAAGTGAATCAGCGCCATCTAACGACCTTCTTCTTCTTCTTCTTCTTCTTCTTCTTCTTCTTCTTCTTCTTCTTCTTCTTCTTCTTCTTCTTCTTCTTCTTCTTCTTCTTCTTCTTCTTCTTCTTCTTCTTCTTCTTCTTCTTCTTCTTCTTCTTCTTCTTCTTCTTCTTCTTCTTCTTCTTCTTCTTCTTCTTCTTCTTCTTCTTCTTCTTCTTCTTCTTCTTCTTCTTCTTCTTGGTGTTTAATGGCGGATGGCATACAACTTTTAGGTGCATTACCGCAGCTACTGATTAGGAGTGTGGATTATGGAGGACCACGAGTGTCACGGAAATAGTATCAGGACCGTACTCTTCACTAAATTCTATTATATAATCCCGTGTCCTTTAAATAACGCATTAAAAATCGAAAGTTTTTATCCCCTGATTCATTGCCCAAAATGTTCATCAAATTAAGTTTTTCTTTATTTTCCTTGAGGACATCAATCAGTATCTGTCTTTCCTTTCCGTATCTTGGACACTTCATTATAACATG